TCATGCTTCATTGATAGTTGGGCTTGGTATAGAATTCTAAGTAAATGATAATTTTTTCCTCAGAACTTTGGAAACAGAGTTTCATATGTTTTAGCTGGTAAACAGTTTGGTATCAGTCTGATTCTCATTCCTTGGTGTATGACTTGAAATTTTTCCCTCTCCCTAAGCTTCTGCGATCTTTTGCTTATATTAAATATTACAGATGGCTTAAGCTGAGTGTAAACTTAATGCATTAGTGTCCAGTTAAGTGTAATTAATGTTCACAAGCATGCCTCTAACATGGCTATTACATGCAAAGTGGTTTCCAAATTGTAGGTCCTTGACCATTTGAAAGAAAGAAGGAAGCATTGAAGGGAAGTAAGAAAAAATAAATAGAATGGAATAGAAAATTTCATAGTGCCATCCTACAGTAGTTATACACATTGTTTCACAAAACATTTGTTTCAGTTGTATATGTGTGGTGTGTTAAAACTTTCCAAAACCTTCCAAAATTTAGCATGTATTCACTTAGTGTCTGAAACAGAGGCTGAGTTTTCACATTAAAAATTATGTTAAGACGTAAAATGTACTTGAGGAGAACATTCCTACTTAGCTTTAGTTTAATGTTTTTAATAAAAATTGTCTTTGTTGCTTCATGACAAATTTTATTAAAAGTAGTAGGCATGTGGCTAATTTTGCAGTACAAGATGAAGGCATGTTATAAAGCTGCTTGTTTCAAGCTCCTGTTTGTTGTCAGATGGAATGCTGGGTGTAGGCTGGTATGGTTCATACTTGGGATCTAGCCTGAAAGACATGTTTTTACTCTCAACAAACATCATCTTTGTTTGACTATCTGTAGTCCGTGTAACCACAGAAAGGTCTTTTCTTCTCCCCTAGAAACGTTTTCTTTCTTGTGCTTGTTTCACAAATAGTTTAAAGTAGAGCTGCCTTCCACTTTTCTGTTTCAGTTTGTTGCAAGAATGTGTGAGGCACCACCAAACACTCCTGGTGTGCTTGAGAACTGTAAAATAATAATGAAATCTTGGAGTAGATAAGTTTACTTTATGAGGACTGAAGCTACCGTTAATTCCCAAGGCCAGACCAGTTGTCTAACAAAGGGTAAAGTACTTCCTAAATTGGAAGAGTTGATTTTTTTTTTTTTTAAAGATTGTATTTATTTGACAGAGAGAGATACAGCGAGAGAGGGAACACAAGCAGGGGGAGTGGGAGAGGGAGAAGCAGGCTTCCCGCGGAGCAGGGAGCCCAATGCGGGGCTCGATCCCAGGACCCTGGGATCATGACCTGAGCCGGAGGCAGACGCTTAACGACTGAGCCACCCAGGCGCCCCTGGAAGAGTTGATTTATATATAGTAATTATCTGTCAGAATGTACAGTAGGAAAAGTGTTGTCAGTTTTGTTTTAGTGGATTTGAAATTTACTAACTTTGACTGACTTGTTCATTACAATTTGGGATTAATTGAATGATACTAAGCTACAATGCCTGCTTTTAAAAAATGTCATTCAGGAGGATGCTTGCTTCTTAAAAGTTCTTGTGTTTAAAGGGAATTAGAGGTCTTCTTAAAATGTTATAGTTGTCAGTTTTTTAAATGCTTCATAAGATGCGATAGCAGTCATTATCTTCCATAAATTTGTGCCCAGGTGTGTTTTCCTGTATACTTGAGTATTTAATGTCTTTTGATTTTTACTGCTTCAAATATGCCTTTTTTACTTTGGAACGTTGTTACGTTAGATGTGAAGTCAATAAAAATAATTTGATTTAATTTGGCTTGAGTAATGTAATAGAGATTTTTAAAATTTAATAATGACATGTGATGTAAGTACTGAGGAACACAACTGTCACTGTTTAATAGGTGCCTGGAACTTTGTGCACACTTGAGCACAGACACAAGACAGCTGTTGATATCCCTTTGTGGTCAGTGTTTTAGGGCAGACTCTTTGTTCTTGGAATGGAATTTCTAAATAAGCACTCACAATGAAACCAAAGGGAGGGTTCTAGTGTAATTCTTAATAAACTTCTCAACTCTAGATCAGACAGTGTGAAACAAAATATAACTACAGTGAATGCTGTATAGGGATATTACTTCTTACTCTAAAGATGATTGCCTCACAATGTAGATTACTAAATAATGTCTCTACTACTCCCTGTTGGAAAGAATTGGCATTTAGATTTAGTCTCTTCAGAGAAGCAGGTTTGGCTATATTTTATAAAATCAGTCTGACTTCAAATTCATGCTTTTTTTAGAACACATTTGTCAACATTACAGAATTTTCTCTCCACAGGGAAATGCAATGATAAGAAATTTCTAAGGGAACTTAAAGATTTAGAACTTACTTTATTTGATTTGGAGGACTACTCTAATCATACTAAAGTACATGATCTTTCATAAAATTAAGATAGAATTTCAATCAATTCCAGTATGGCCTCTATTAAATGCTTAGATTTTCCTTTCTGGAAATCTGTAGACTATAGAGATGAGCTGTGGAAAGCTTTCTATCTTATAGTTCACCACAATGATGCTTTCTTGGGATACTTTGCATCTTCTCAACTCCATACTGTTTCCAGTTCTTGCCTTTATATGTTTAAACTTGTCATTGTTAAGTAGGAAATAGGGTTGAAACTCCTAGGATGGGTAGCAGGAATGAAGGTCTGATACAGAATATATTCAAAGAACACACTCATCCATTGAATTTGATCACCATAGATACTCACGCTTAGTTGTTCTGATAATGGAAGTGGAATTTAATAAGTAGTCAGCTTTCTTAGTTCGAGTTTAATTTCTATTAATTTACTTTCCCCCTTTGTAGAAGTGGGAGTGTAATGTTGTGAAGCTGGGCAACAGAAGAGGGAAAAGGTATTGACAGAGTTCTGTAAGTCTAGAATAGTAGGGTAATGAATATATAATTGAGTTGATTATCCTAGACTTCTGATTACATTAGTTCATTGTGAAAATCTAAACAACTAATCTGCATTTTTGTTAATTTTATTGAACCATTCCATTATTTATTCACTTTTCCCCCAAAGGATAGCATATTGACACTTTGTAGTCTGAGAAAAGCAGTGACATAAATACACTTTTTCCTCAAATAAATGTTTAAAAATTTACAAATTCCCATTTTTACCAGTTTTTACTATTATATTGATGACTTCATTGGCCTAAATCCCTAGAGGTAGAATTGTTGGGGTATGCCCATTTTTAAGATTCTGCAGACATATTATTAAATTGCTTTCCCCAAAGATTTTTATACACTAATAAGTCACCCCTCAGAGTAAGCTACTGCAGATTTCCCCATGCTATTGTCAACATTGAGTAACATCAATCCATTTTGTGGTCAGTCTAAGATAAGTACAAAGATATTTTAAAACTTGTATTTCTAATACGTTTGTTTTTTTTTTATCCCCATGCCTTGGCTTTTAAATTTAGATTTTATTTTTATCAGAGCTATACTTGGTTTAAAGATTCAGCAGTCTGTACAGCTTATTTTGAAAAATAGCTGACTGCCATACTCCTCCCTCCTCACAGCCCACCCCACAGAAGTAACCACCTTCCACTCCCCGGGCTGCTTCGTTTCTGTTCTCTTCCGTAGTGCTAGATGGCATGCCTGGATTGCCCCTTCCGCTTCTGCAGTTTCAGGCCGTATCTGCTGGTCTCCTGCTGCGGAGAGGATATGGTTTTCTTCCCTGCACCCAACCCCTTCCACGCTCGTGCACATCCTTTCAATCTCAGGGAATTGACCCCTTTCGTCAGTACTCTGTGTTCAGCCCCACCCTTCCCGCTCCTCAGGAGCCACCATTTGCTGGGCCTTTGATGGAGGGGATTAGTGAGTTTCAAGAAGAATGGATATAAAATGTATGTTCCATCTGGCATCTTTCCCTGGAGGTCCTTTCTTGTGTCTTTAGTAATCATTTTTATAAAGTAATCCTTAAAATTATTGGCCATAGAGTCAAGACTATCTGGATTTGAATTCCAGTTTTGCTCTTTATTAGTTTTGTGACCTTAGACAAGTTCACTAAAATCGCTAGGCTTCATTTTTTGGTCCATGTGATAGAATTCATATGATACCTATCTTAGGGTGTCCTTGTGAGAAATAAACGTGATAAGGCATGTAAAGTGTTTTTCACAGTATCTGCTGCCTGCAGATATCTTACTATCTGCCAGAGACTTACTGAGAACACAGATATGCTTCTGGCTGCTATTGTTACTCTTGTGAATTTCTTGCTCATGGCCTTTGCCCAGATTTCCAGTGGAATGCTTGTCTTTTTCTTCCTGATAAGAGGTGCCTTTGATATAGCCTGTTACGGGTCTTTTGTTTTTCTTTACGGTACTTGTGATGTCTAATCATATGCATACTATTTCATGTTATGATCTCTACTGCTGTAGTCAGATTTGTGTTTTTCAAAGATACATGGTGGTAGTAAGAGAGAAGGGTATGTGTGTGCTGTAAGATGGAGATTATCATAGTAGTTGGGACAGTTGATGAGGGGGACCTCGGAGGCCAAATGAAGAAGTAATTCTTTTCATCATGTAGGAGAAATATATTTTTTTTTAACTCCTGAAGTATATCTTATACTGGTTTGTTTTGTGGACAAATTACCTCAGTTTGTAAAAGCCTTCTTGAATGTTCTTCTCATCGTACACCCAGGTGGATTTTATCTGAAAACTTAGAGCTTTCGGTTTGTTTCTACTTTAATACTTATTTCTCTGAAATTAGATCCAAAATTGCTTCTTGAGGGATAAGATTTATCGTCTCCCCTACGTTAATGCTATGTTAACAAATTTGCTTTCTTTTAAATATCATGTATATTATTGAAATGGTAGATGCATTGATATTTCAACGTTGGTAGTTACAGATACTTAACTCAGCCTTTTATTTGATTTTGCTGGTTTGTCCTTTTAGGCAATACCGATTTATTGTTTTATTTTTGTTTTGTCTTAGTTTTATAATTAATTAACTTTATGGTTCTTTAAAAAACGGTTCATCTAAATTTGATCTCTCCACAGATTCGGACCAGGATGTAGCACTCAAACTTGCCCAGGAGCGAGCTGAAATAGTTGCTAAGTATGACAGAGTAAGTATTCATATTTACCCTTTGAATAAGTTTTATTAGAAAAAAAACATATAAATAGAAATGGATTTGGTGTTTGGAGAGCTTAAATTAAATTACAGAAGCAGTTTGTTTACTTTATGTGACAATGGAAGTCGTCTTTTTTTCTCTGACTTCATCTCCAGATTCTCTCTCCGTCTTTCCCTCTGCTCCAGCCACTCTAATCTCACACCAGGCTTGCACCTACCTCTGGGCCTTTGCATTGCTGTTTCTTCTGCCTAGAACACTTTAATCCTGGATATTCTCCTGCCTCATTGCCTCACCTTTTTCAGATCTTCACCCAGATCCTGCCGTCTTAGTGAGGTCTTCTCTGACCACACTGTTTAATAACCCCCTTCCCCAGCTCTCTGGATCCCTGTTCTCTTCTTTATTTTTCATTATAGCCCTTATTATATCAGCATACTTCATATTATATTTACTTTGTTTGTTGTCTGCTCTCACTCCTAGAACGTAAACTCTGAGGGTAAGGATTTCTTTTGTTTGCTTTACTCTTGTATCCTAAATATCTGGAGTAGTTCCTAACTCATGCTAGGTATTCAGTAAATATTTGAATATGTCCGTATATAGAATTAAATACCCATTTTATTTATAATTTATATATGCTATTAAAGTTTTAACATGGATCTGAAAATTTGAACTTATACATTATGTATACTCTCCATTACCATTTTATCTCTGTTAGTTATGGAATCTGGTTTTTGATGCCCTAGAATATCACAGTTGTTGACAGTTTACGTATCTCCTTATTATTACTTTACCCCTTGAGGTCTGTAATAGGTTGTAGGCAGTGATTTATAAATGTCATGTTTTATATTTATCTCAGTTGCATGTAATTTCATATCTGTTATTTTTAATTATTTGTGAGAATAATAGGAGCATGAAATTATAGAAAGCCATCTGGACTGTGCCCTGCTCCCAGGGAGGCCATACAGGCAGGCAGTGCTCTACTTAATAGTTACGTTCCTAGAGTTTGTTTTTAAATTGGTTGTTTGGAGCATCAGACACAATTTCCCATTATTGTGAGTAGGTTTTAGTGGAGTCTGGAAAACCTAATTAATTTATTTAACTGCTTAGTTAATTTAAAACCAATAGAATTATCATTCATTCATGCTTGTATGCATTTTTTTTTTCCATGCAGTTAAGTCACACTTAGAAACTAGGCTAGCCATTGTGCAGTCATTGATAAAATATACGCACATGGAGGGGTCCACAAGACAGTTGGGTATTGAATCTGAAATTTGATGGATTGGTGTAGACATTTGAAGTTCCTACTCTAATCGGTGCTGGTTAACAGCTTCAAAAGTAGAGTGAGAAGAGCAATGGGCTGAGGGCAGTGCTGTGGGCACACTGACAGTTAAGAGGGACCCATGAAGACCCATCAAAACAAGAGTTGGATGGTATGAGGAGAACCAAGAGAGGCTGGTATGATGGAGTTTGAGGAATGGGGAGTGAGCAATACTGAGAAATGTACTGAACAGAATCCACTAGATAAGAACTGAACAGTGTCCACTGGATGATCTGTCCAAGGGCAGATCATTTTTGACCTTGGCAAGAATAATGTCAAGGCTGATGTAGCTGTGAAGTAAAGAAGTAGAGACACAAGATGGATAGCTTACTGTTCTGAGAAGTGTGGATGAAAGGCAAGAAAGAGTTTTTCCTATGACATGTTTAGTCAAAAACATTAAAGTTTGGCAGTTCCTTCTTGAGTGGCTTTCTTACCCTTCGTTGCTCTGTCTTTCCCAGTTGACTTCTGACACAAACCCAAGTCTGATCAGGGCTTAGCTGCGTGTCAGCTGTTGGTGGAATACGGGATCTTCTGAAGCTTGTAACTGGGAAGTAGTGATTATATTGCCAAAAGTAGTTTGTTTTTTTTTAAAGTTAATTTAGGTTGGTAGTGTCTCATTTTTAACTCTTATTATTAATTCTTAAAAAAATTAACTCTTGTTTTGTGGTCTTCTTGTTTTAAGTAATTATTCAGTTTTATAAATTCCCAATAATACCCTTCTTTGTCCCCTATTACAGGGACGAGAAGGTGCAGAGATTGAACCTTGGGAGGATGCTGATTACCTTGTTTACAAAGTCACGGATAGATTTGGCTTTTTACAGTAAGTTGCATTGTTTGAAAGCTAACTTTTTTATTATAGTGTTTCTATGGTGACCTATTATATTGATTTTCTTTATTTTTAATCGCACAGCTGTGAATAAGATTCCAGGAGTAGTCCTGCAATGTGCTTTTTGTTATTAAATTCCTGGCATTTTTCGGGGCGCCTGGGTGGCTCAGTCGTTAAGTGTCTGCCTTCGGCTCAGGTCATGATCCCAGGGTCCTGGGATCGAGCCCCATATCAGGCTCCCTGCTCAGCAGGAAGCCTGCTTCTCCCTCTCCCACTCCCCCTGCTTGTGTTCCCTCTCTCGCTGTGTCGCTCTCTGTCAAAAAATAAATAAAAATTTACTTTAAAAAAAAAAAAAAATTCCTGGCATTTTTAACCTCTATGATTAACATTGAACTATATAGTTAAGAATACAATCTTTAATATTTGTTGTATTTTAGTAAGAACATAAAGTGCAATAAATGAGTTATATTAATAATCTAGCAGAATTAAATGGAAATGAATAATAATTTGTATTTCAAAAATAATTACAAAACATTTCATTTTATGTAAATGCATTTTTTAAATAATTAGCAATTAGAACTTTAGTGTTATGCAGCCTAGAAATGAACAATGAGAGGAAATGCTGTTGATCTTTCCCATAGTTATAAATGTCTTTGTGTTATTGCTTCTCAGAATTAATTCCATTTATCCTGAGTATGTTATATAAAGAGTTGAGAGAGGTCTAGACTACTGTAAAGGGGCTAAAGTGATTTTGACTCTTGAAAACATCCTGCTAGTGATGCAAATTCTGCCTGTTCCAGTTCTGGCATTGTTTGGGCAGATCCCTACAGGCTAGAGACTTCTCTTCATCTCTATAGTTTGTTTGCTTCCATCCAATTTAGTGAGTAATTTCTCATTCAAATTTATTCTTTTCCAGTCTGATTTACTATAAATAGGAAAAAGCCAGAGTTTTTTTTCTTTTTAATTTTAGGATATATGATTACATTTTGAAGGAAAAAATATAATTTCTTGATAGTTCATAGCAGTAACTTGTAGTACTCAGACTTTGTTTTCTCCTTCTGTTGAGTTTTCTTGCATTTAGAAAGTATTTTTTGGTATCTTCTTTTTCTTTGGGTAGAACAAGCAAACAAAGTTAAGAGAAACAGCTCTGGGAGTTAGAGAATGTGTGCCCTTCTTGTGGCTTCACTTGTTGCAGTTAACCCTTTCATGCCTCATCTGTAAAATGGAATCATCACTGCTCTACATACTTTATAGTTGAAGCTTTGAAGAAATAAAATGGTAGAATGCCATATAAAGGTCTGGACAAATATAAGGTGGTGTTATTATACCCAATGACATTAGCATAACCAGAGTGTTCTCTTGAGTAGTTATAATTAGAAGACTTTGAACTTTAACAGACCAGCAGAGCAGTATTTAACTATGATGAAACGCTCTTCTTAAATTAAACCCCCACTTCCACTTTTTTTTTTTTTTTAAATAAATCAAACTTGGCCACAAATGTGGCAGGAAATGGTTACACATTTGTGTGGGTTAGTGTGCAGATCTGAGATATGGGATAAAGTTTTAAAGGACAGTTTGAGCTTTTAGCCCCATCAAGATCAGTGGATCCCAAACTTGTCTGCACACTAGAATCAGCTGAGAAATTTTTCTTAAAAATAAATTTCTGGGCTCTATCCCAGATTTTGATTCAGAAGGTGCAATATAACTTAGCTTATTTTGGCCTTCTCAAGTGACTGTATATTGGGAGTGAACCACCAAAGGAGATGTTTATATCATAAAATGGTCTAATATAGTATAAGCGACATGTGAAAAACCTGTGCATTCCAAAAGGTTCTAGTAGTTACCTAAAATCTCTTTTCTCATTGCTTGAAACATGTTTAGTCCATCCATTATTTATCTTACTAATATTAGCTAGTATTTATTGAGCACTTACTGTGTGTCAGGCACTGTTCTAAGCCCTTTACATGGATAACTCATTTATTCCTCTCCAAAACTCTTTGGGGTAGGTACTCTTTTTATCTTTTTTTTAGATGAACCTGAAGCAGAAAGCGGTCAACCACCTGGCCCAAGTTGTGTTGACTGTGTCAAATGTGGGCTGTAGACTTCGGCAGTCTTATTACAGCAGGGCCTGTGTTCTGAACTTCTGCAGTATACTGCCTGTTACTACTCTCCTGTATTTTAATTAATTAAATAAATAAATAATTAATTAATTAATTTTTAAGATTTTACTTATTTATTTGTCAGAGAGAGAGAGAGCACAAGCAGGGGGAGCGGCAGGCAGAGCAGGCAGAGGGAGAAGCAGACTCCCCCGCCAAGCAGGGAGCCCGATGCGGGACTCGATCCCAGGACCCTGAAATCATGACCTGAGCTGAAGGCAGCCGCTTACCGGACTGAGCCACTCAGGCATCCCTCTCCTGTATTTTAAATGAGAGAAACACAAAAGTGCTTTGACACGCCTAGAAAGAAATTTGAAGGCAGTCACTTGTATGAAGGTATATACATCAGATAGCTAAGCTCACCACTTCTTTGAAAATGAAGCCAATTGGTACCAGTTCTCATATGATCACACTAATTTTTTAATTTATACCATCGTGCAGTCCTGAAGCATCCAGCACAAATGAAAATAATGAAGCAGAGAAATGGATTTTAGTGTAATGTTAGGCTTTGTTAAATTTTACCAAACTTGATTTTTGTTACAATGCCTACTTTAAGTAAAACACATTCTCCAGAGGTTGCTGCTGGTGCCTTCCACTACTTGTCACTGTAGCCTGAAGTTTTTTTTTTTTTTTTGCACTATTGAATAAAGTCAGTTGGCCTAGGCATTTAGATATTGCCTTCTATCACACCTTGATCGAAGAGCCTTTCTTTCTGCTGTTTTAGTTCTCTGCAATTTTTGATTGGTTCTGCAGTGAAATTGGGTTTTAAGTGTCAATGTCAGTACAATACAGTGGACAAAAGTAACTTTGTGATCTTCTCTGAAGGCTGCTGACTTCATATCTAATTACAGTTTTAGTAACTTAAATTGCTTGTTATGATATGTGGCAGTATTAACAAAAGCAGTATAGGCCTAACTTGGCTTTATAACAGATTTCACAATAAATATAAAAATGGTTGCCAAACCAGCTTGGCTTGATGCTGCAACGGGAAGGTCTTTGTTTAGGATTCAGAAATGGGGAGTTATCCCTGGTCTGGATGCCTGTGACAGAGTTACATCTGGAGAATGGAGAAATCAAGTGTGTTTAAGAGTTAGAGAAATTTTGAAATTTGAACTTTCAACATTTTTATCAAAAATAGTCACTGCTGGTCTGTTCAGCTTGGAATGCTTGGAATTTGGATAGTGATAGAGCTTTTAGGTCAGAAGTTATTAATAGAATTAGAAGGAAATTGTATCAAAAATAAAGATAAAATTAATATCAAGCTTCAGATTTTCAACTAATCAAAAGGTGTATATTTGAAAAAATTAGCAAATTGTCTGTAGTTTACTATGACTATATAAATATTTGAAAGCCAAAATAAAGGTGTTTTTGTTTTTAAAGAACTTCTGTTTTGATGACAAGAGCTTGCGAACTCTTTCTACTTGTCTAATCCTTTTGATTAGAGTAAATCTAAACTTAGATAGACTTAACTGCAAAAAACAAAATTTAGTCAACATACTCAATTTACTGATTTTAGCAAGTTAAGTTTTAAGTTACCCGGTGAAATTTTGTCTCACAGAAATATGCCACCTGAGGTATTGAAAAATTACAGGCACATATACTCTAGTTAATAATTCTTTTAAGTTTAAAGCAGATGAAAACAGATTGAGTTAAGGCCCCTCTCTTTCCAGGGATGACTGTGTTGTTGTTTTTACTTACTGTGTTTCTATGAGGTATGGCTTCTTGTTGTCAGCGTGGCATTTTCTTTTAGCAACTTCTATGTACCTCTTTCCTTTAGAGGACAAACCTTTGTTTTTTAAAGTGGGGTCAGGCAAACATTTTCTGTGAAGAGCCGGATAGGAAATATTTTTGGCTTTGTGGACCTTGTGATCTTTGTCATAATGATTCAACTCTACTGTTGTAGCGTGAAAACAAGCACAGACAATACACGAATGAGCATGGTAGTGTTCCATTGAAACTTTATTTACAAAAGTGGGCAGTGGGCCGGATTTGACCCATGGGGCTGTAGTTTGCTGACCTAAAGGAATATTCTGTACACATCCAGACTTTGGTCTTTCTTTTCTTCTACTTGGAGAATATGTAAGTGGCAAGGGGAAGATGCATCTATGCATGCCGGCATGTGTTCACCCTTTTATTCCATACTTTCACTCAGCAACATTTAGTGCCCTCCTGCAGCCTGCCAGCCACTGTGCTTGAGGCCGGTGCTGTGCTTTACATGTGTATTTTAGACATTGTGTGTAGCTTTTGGAAAGGCAGCAATCCCCTGCTTTCTCCTTGGAAGGCTGTGAAGATTAATGCACGCCATCACAGAAATCTGAGGAGGAAAAGTTCTATGGCGATCAGTGTTGTGCACACAGCAGATTTTGTATAAAAGGTTTTAGGTATGGGGCAATAATGCAAGAAAATCCATACAGGAAAACTTGACCACATCTTTGCTCTTTCATCCATCTAAGCAGTCTCAAGACTGTTTTCACAATTCAGCATCCATCCATTATGGAGGGAATGGACCTCATCAGGAATGAGGCCACATAAGACAGACCCACAGCTAATATCATACCCAATGGTGAGAAGCTGAAGCTTTTCCTCCGAGACCAGGAACAGAACAAAGATGCCCACTCTTGCCACTTTTAATCACATAGTTAGGTAAGAAAAAGAAATAAAAGTCCAGACTGGAACAGAAGAAGTAAAACTGTCTCTATTTGCAAATGAAATGATTTTATATATAGAAAACCATTAAGACTCCACCAAAAAAATTGTTAGAACTGATAAATGAATTCAGTAAAGTTGCAGCATACAAAATCAATATACAATAATCATTTGCATTTTTATATATAGTAA